TTTAATCCCAGCACTCGGGAGGCAGAGGTAGGCGGATCTCTGTGAGTTCGAGACCAGGCTGGTCTACAAGAGCTAGTTCCAGGACAGGCTCCAAAACCACAGAGAAACCCTGTCTCGAAAAACCAAAAAAAAAAAAAAAAAAAAAAAAAAAAAAAAAAAAAAGAAAGGAAGCTCTTCAGGCCATGAGGAACAAGCAGAGAGAAGAGTTCCTTTGCCACAGCTTCAACCTCAAGGTCCTGCCTTGGCTTCCCATAATGCAATCTGTCTGCCAGACAAAAGCCCTCCTCTCCCCCTCCTCTCCCATGTTGCTTTTGGTCAATTTCTTTTTCACAACAGAGAACCAAACTCAGACAGTAGCTAAGGGTGTCTGTGAACCCCTTCATCCTCCTCTGGACAGTAGCTGAGGGTGACTGTGAACCCCTTCACTCTCCTCTGGGCAGTAGCTGAGGGTGACTGTGAACCCCTTCACTCTCCTCTGGACAGTAGCTGAGGGTGACTGTGAACCTCTTCAGTCTCCTCTGGCAGTAGCTGAGGGTGACTGTGAACCCCTTCACTCTCCTCTGGACAGTAGCTGAGGGTGACTGTGAACCCCTTCACTCTCCTCTGGACAGTAGCTGAGGGTGACTGTGAACCTCTTCAGTCTCTTCTGGGCAGTAGCTGAGGGTGACTGTGAACCCCTTCACTCTCCTCTGGGCAGTAGCTGAGGGTGACTGTGAACCCCTTCACTCTCCTCTGGACAGTAGCTGAGGGTGACTGTGAACCCCTTCACTCTCCTCTGGACAGTAGCTGAGGGTGACTGTGAACCCCTTCACTCTCCTCTGGGCAGTAGCTGAGGGTGACTGTGAATCCCTTCACTCTCCTCTGGGCAGTAGCTGAGGGTGACTGTGAACCCCTTCATCCTCCTCTGGGCAGTAGCTGAGGGTGTCTGAGAACCCCTCGTCCTCTGGACCCCACTCAGGTCTTCCTTCGATAGCTGCTGAGGACAGACCTCTCATTTCTCCCATTACCATGAGAATTCAGGGTGCCACTCCCAGCTCCATCAGGACTCTTTCTCAGCTCACAAGCTTTGAAAATTTGCATACCTTCTCTCCCGGAATTCCCAGCTCACCACCCAAGCCCTGGGAAGCCTGGAGTCTGTTATTCTGGTATCTGCCTTCATGCCTGGCTAACTCCTGCCTTGACCCGCTAGGCAAAGACTCATTTCCTCCCCATCTACCTTCTCTCTTCAAGCCAGCAGTCTAATTCTATCTTATATAAAAGCTTCTCCGCGCCCGACGCGTCTCTCCCTGTGGCTTGTAATAAGCTCTTAAAGGCAGCATCCAGATTCTAATTATCTCAGTTCAACGTCCCTCCGTGAAGGCTGAACGCAGGGCTGACCCAGGCCAGGGAGGGGGAGACCCCTTGCTGCCTGTGGAAATGAAGGAGCTTATGGGGCAAGCAGCCCTCTGGGCCTGTGTCTCGAGCAGGGCCAACTGGAAAAGGGAACTTAGTCTGCACAGGTGGCGTGTTTTGTGCTGTGCAATCACCTCCCATAGGACGCTAGGACTATGTCAGTCACCCTGCACATAACACAGGCACACGGCACACCTGTATATAGGAAGCTAGCTGCAGGGTGGGTGTTTTTAAATGGCAAATGACATAAAGGCTCATTCTGTTAAGATCCTGAACCCAGTGAGTCGTGATGGGAACATCAGGTGGTGTGGGACTCACAATGCTGAGTTCTGCTCTGCCCTGACTGGGCTGGGGAGGGAGTCTTTTCAAACCGCATAGCTCTGCCACCAGAGTGAGGGTGCTGTTCAATCTTCCAGCTACCCTCCCTCTCACCTGACCCCTCTCCACACAAGGAAGAGATGATTTTCTTTCAAGCTTTAATTCTCCATCGTCCCTGTGGCGAGAATGGGGATTGGGTATTAGGATGTTTAATGGTTTGGTCCTGGGCCATTTAAAACGAAGCGGAAATGTCACTATCTGAGACGGGTGGCAGATGAAGTGGATGGTAAGTGGAAATGAACTTGAGTACGATGCGGTTCACAGTCCCCAGTGATAAGCTGGAGGGGTGGAGAGCCCCTGGCTCTCCCCGGAGGAGACAGGACTGCTTGTTAATCCCCCAAAATGTGGCTCTTCCAAAGCAAGTCAGCGTGTGCTGTTTCCTTAACACACTGCTCCTTCCGTTGTTTCTGCATGATTTAAGCAAATATTTATTTGTATTTGTGTGACTATATTGCATGTATATAAGGAGAGAGAGTCCCACTCCCCTGTCTGAGACTTTTCCTCATGCCTTCATCTCCAGAACCCGAGACACTGAGGTTTTTAGTGCTTCTCCAGGTGGAGCTGAGCTGTGGTGTGTAGAGTCTACAGTGACTAATCTCACTGTATTTTATCTCCCCTCCCCGGGGCTGCGGGAAGCTACAGCGGAGTGCTTCATACAATTCAAAGCCAAGCCCGCCTTACAGGACCCCCACCTGCCCTCCCACAGCTGAGTGCCCCAGCTTTTCATTCCTGGAGATCCCTGAGCATTGCCCATATCTGAGGCTCATTAAGACCTTATAGGATGAAAAGGCCTTTGATTATTCAGAGCTGTGGGTCCTTGGGGAAGCCCAAAGCACAACAGCGCTCACCTGATTCTCTAGTTATATTGCGCATGCTGCCCGAGGGAAAAATTAGCAGAGGCACAGAGCTCAAACGTCATGGCTCACGCTTCCTCCACCTCTGCTGGCTGCCATCGAATGCGTGGTGGAGCTTTATCTTTTCAATTTTTTTCCTGTGTTTTGTCCCTGGCTAGTGCTAAAGACTCTTTCTGTCTCATCTAGTCCCATCCATTTTCTGTGTATATTACTTCTCTGCTTCACAGCGTCGCCGTCATTATCTCAGATGCAACCAGGCAACCCTTTCTACATTTACCTGCCACACACACACACACACACACACACACACACACACGCAGGCACGCGCACGCACGCACGCACACTTGCACGCCCGCTTACTTGTTTCTGTTCACCCAACATTGAAACCCCTCACTTCCTAGTCAGGAACCAGCTCTACCCTGTGGCTTCCCCTTTTATGGTCCCTTGAGAGTGAGATCCTGGAGAAGTTTCTCATCCTCCCATCTAGAATCCCCATGGCCCTGTACATCAAGAATTCTAGTGACTATTTCTCATGGTGGTTTGGACTGCTAGGTGCCTTCACCTATCCCCATTAGCCTGCCCCCACTCTACAAATCTGATTCTTCCAGCCGCTTGGCCCAGACTGGACAAGTCTGGAAAGGTGATTTCACCATTTCCACTCAACAATCCCCATGTGAAGTGTGTAGATGCCAGGGTCCACTGTGGAGGGTGGCCTGAGACATGCATGCTTATCCACACCCTCTATTTCCTGTGCCAGCCGGAAAGGAGGGGCTAGCAGCAAAGCACAGGGAAGAAGCCCACTGAGCCTGCCTTTCTGCAAAGGGGGCACAGAGATGGAAAGACCATTGGTCACGGGTCAGGAGAGCCATAACCTGAGCACTGGCTGGTTGCTGGACGGTGGTGGCGCATGTCTTTTATCCTAACGTTTGAGAGGCAGAGGCAGGTGAATCTCTGTGAATATAAAGCCAGCCTGGTCTAATTACAGAGAGAATTCCAGGGCAGCCAGGCCTACACAGAGAAACTCTATCTCAAAAACAAACAAAGAAGAGCTGTAGAGCTGGCTGGCTACTGGCTGGTTGTGTTTCCAGTTGTTTGAAGTTTTTTTTTTTTTTTTTCTCAGTTCAGACAGAAATCCTGAGCAGATAAAGTGTCGGTGCCCCTAGAATCCGCAGCCTGTGTCTTCAGCCCCAGCAGGTCCAGCTCCCACTGTCAGCCTCCGTGTCCCCTGCCCCCCAGCTGCCGCTCTTTGGGACTCTTCAGTTGTCAGGCTCCCCACCGTGCTGCGGTTCTCCTCCGAACCACCTCAGAGCTACCAGTACTGGCTACTGGCCACTTCCAACACAAGCAGTCTCTAGCGTTACCAGCCATTGGTGCGTTCTTGCTCAACACACCAGTAGACTTCACCAACATACGTAGTAAAACGATCTGAGAGAAACTTCACTAGGCCAGGTGTGGTGGCCCGTGATTTTAACCGGGAGGCAGAGGCAGGCCTGCCAGAGCTATGCAGTGAGACCCAGTCTCAGACCAGGAAAAAAAGAGAAACATTATTAGGACTTCCTCGTGGTATGAGGGGAGCAGTCCACACACCACCCTAATGAGGATGAGGTGGTGCTGCTTAGACAAAAAGGAGGGGCTCACGCATGCTCAGAGTCCTGTTGGCTAACTGCGGACTTTTATACATAGTTCTGCATGTCTGCCCAGGCATAGTGGGCCTGCCTGGGCAGCTTGGGGACCCAAATGGGGATACCAGAGGAACAAGTCACCGCCTGGGACTACACAGGGCGTCCGAGCAAATTCTCCAGAGCAGTCCTCAGTCATCTCTTAGAAGAAGTTGGGCCCTAATTCTTGGCCCTGGTTTTGTCTTAAGCAGAAGATCCTGCAGTGGCTGTGGATATGGTCACAGAAGGGGTTAGACCCCACAAAGCCCCACTAGTCTGAAGAGGCCCACTACCCCTTATCAACCAGGCTTCTGCTGTGGTGGCAGGGCTGGGGAGTTCAGAAGAAGACCAAGGGCCCCCCAGGTAACAACAGAAGAACCCCCGGGTCCACTCTTCTACTCTGGCTAGGCTGGGCCTTATCCTAGGTTTCAGTGTCCCATCTATAAAAACAGAGTTAATGGCATTTGGCTGCTAGAAGGTCAGATAAGAGGTTATGTGTGGGGACATCCCTCATTCTGGGGAGAGTTGCACAGCCATGGGGTTAAATGCTGCTCTGATACCCTCAAGAAAGGTGTTGTATGCATAATAAATAAATAAATAAATAAATAAATAAATAAATCTTTTTTTAAAAAAAAAAAGAAAGAAAGAAAAGAAAAAAAGGTGTGTCCCCAGCTCACTGTCTAGACAAGTCTGACCTTACATTCTCCTCCATCCACAGGGCAGTCCTTCTACTCCCGGGTCCTGGAGAACTGTGAGGATGTGGCCGACTTCGATGAGGTAGAATATCTGCATCCCTGTCCCCTTTCCAGCAAGCTCTCCTCTCTGCCCACGCCCCCACCCCGGGTGGCTTGTTTGCAGCTTGCTTCATTGGAGTGACTTCCTGGGAGGAGGTGGTGGTGGGTGGTTGTGAAAGCCTCCACACAGCGGAAGCCCATCCAGTGAGTAACAGCTGGACGACCAGACCCAAAGCTGCTGCCAGATCTGGACCTCTTTGCTCCCTGTAGAGAAAATGCCACCAGAGATCTAACGTCAGCCCAAGACTCTCCAGGGCATCAGGGAGGGTTTTTCCTCAATGTCTCGTGGTGTCCTTGGAGTAACCAGGCCACCAGGGCTTCTACGATGCCCTTCTCACATGGATTCAGCCTTTTAAGAGCATCAGATACTCGTCCCTAAGTTCTCAGAACTTCCTGGTGGGAACATTGAAAGACATACGCATAGTGGTCCCCCTAATTCATTTTCTTCTAAACCATAGACTCAGAATCATTAAATGTATAAAGCATTCGCTTTAGTTTATGGCATGTCATCTCCTCGGCCCCATGAGGCCCTGCTTATGTCTTTTGGTATGCATGTGCACATGTGTGTTTTTCTCACACACTACCATTCTAACATAGGCAATGGAGTCCTTTTGGTTCTCTATACCTCCCTGCATGGTTTGGACTGCTATAAGCATATGTTTGTTTATTTAAATGACAATGTGTTAAATATTTTCTTTTCTACTTTTTCACTATATACTGTTTCTAAGTCCCATCTGTGTTACATAGCGCTGCTTGGGACACCGCCAACGGAGGGTGACCGACCATCCCAGGCTGCCCGGGATGGAGACGATTCCAGAGAAACAGACATTCAGTCTTAAAATGGGGAGCCCCTGGGCAAGCCAGGATGAGCTGGCCACCTGCCCTCTCTACCAGGGCATTCCTAGCTCATGGCACTAGAAATACAGAAAATGGTCTCCACACTTTTCCTGCATCTGTGTGAGTGTCTTCCCCAAGATGAGCACCAGCATCCAGAATCTGTGGCTTTTGGTGCTTCTTACCCTTAATGTGATCCAGTGCTGCCACAGCCTGTGAGACAGAGAGTGACGCTTCCTGTGCCCACATCCTCATCCACAGTTGGGGTTCCCAGGACCCTGACTCTCACCAGTCCAACAGGGATCTCTTATTTACTCTGCAGATCCCCAATTACTAACAGATTTGAGCATCTCTTGATCACGCCTTTAGTCTTTCAGTTCCCTCTTAGGCAAGTTGTCATATTCCTTGCTGTTTTATCAGTTAGGCTGTCTGGGTTGTTGTTCTTCTTTCTTACCGATCTTCTTAGTATATTCTGGGTACCAGTCTCTGTTGATGTTAGATGTTTAAAATGCCTACTGGGGATGTAGCTCAATTGAAAGGGTGCTCACAGCCTGGGGTCAACCCCCAGCTCTGCATAAACCAGCCATGGTGGCACATGCCTGGAATGCAGCACCAAAGAGGTAGAGGCAGGAGGATTAAGAAGTTCTGATTGCCCTCAACTACATATCAAGTTCAAGGCCAGCCTCAGTCGGATGAGATCATGTCTAGAATGAAAGAGACAGTGTGCGTGTGGTGGCGGTGGGAGGGGGGAAGTATCGGTCCCAGTCTATCAACTCTCTATGAACTAGGTCTAAGATCCAGCTGTTGTTTTGCTTATTTCTACCTGTTAGCTGTGGCTTGCTGTATTTTGAAACTGTGTTATTAGTTGCTATATGTTCACAGTAGCTTTCTCTGCATGTCCCTTTTCTCATCTACTAGCATAAGGTTTCCTTTCTTGTCCTCCATGATGTTTGCATTAGTGTCTATCTTATTGGATCCTAAGGCTGTTACCTAGGTATTTGTGAGGCTGAGGCAGGAGGATCACAAGTTTGAAGTCAATATGGACTTCCTTTTCACACACACTGCAAATCTCAGATTATTTTTCTAGACTATCTTTTCTATATGTCCATGTTTTTAAGTTTAGGTGTATCTTATTAAGATTTTTAGATATCATTTTTTTTACCCATATAAGTGTTTCTGGTTTTTAAAAGAAATTTTTTATATGTGTATAAATGTTTGCCTAATATATGTATGTGTACCATATGTACAGGGCCCACAGGGACCAGAAGGGGGCATCGGGTTCACTGGAAGTGTAGTTACAGATGTTGCGGACTTCCGTGTGGGTGCTGGGAATAGAATCAGGGCTCTCTGCAAGAGCAGTCAGGGCTTTCACCCTCTGAACCATTTGTCCAGCCCTGGAGTTTCTGTTTATAAACCAATGATGTCACCATTTCCATTTATTGTTCTATCCATCAGCATCTTGTTTTATATTTCCCTTCCCTTTTGTTTGCTCCTTTTCAGCTTGCCATTGCTTGATAAGGTTTAATTGAAAGATCATAATCTTTTCGACAGTTACCCTTATGAAAACTAAAGTCCCTACTGATAACTTGTAGAAATCAGTTAGAGTAGTTTGTCATTAGTGTAGTTACTTTAATATTTTCTCATGCCTCTTCGGTTTCTCCACCTCTCTCCATCTCTCATGTCGATTTTGTCTACATCGGGCATTCTTTAACTTTGTTCACTGCAGTCGGTTTATTTTATTTTATTTTTTTACTCTTTAGGGACCCACCACCCAGCTCCCAAATAAATATACAAAGACCTATTCTTATTTATAAATGCCCAGCCTTAGCTTGGCTAGTTTCTAGCCAATTTTGCTAACTTAAATTATCCCATCTACCTTTTGCCTCTGGGATTTTACCTTTCTTTATTCTATATTTCTTTATTTCCTTCTTACTGTGTGACTGGCCCCTGGCATCCTCCTCTCTCCTTGTCTCTCCCCCCTCTTCTTCTCTCTTCTTCTATTTATTCTCTCTGCCTGCCAGCCCTGCCTATCCTTTCATCTGCCTCGCTATTGGCTGTTCAGCTCTTTATTAGACCAATCAGGTGACTTAGGCAGGCAAAGTAACACAGCTTCACAGAGTTAAACAAATGCAACATAAAAGAATGCAACACATCTTTACTTCATTAATAGTCCACAACAGTACTCTATATCTCTTTCACCAAAGCAGTTTTTATGCAACTTTTATATGTCCTGGGGATTAAACTTAGAGCCCTGCACACCGTAAGCAAGCGCGCCATCACTAAGCTACATGTCAGCCTGTACTGAAAAGTCTTTGTTTATTACATTTAGTTAGTTAGTTGTGTGTGTGGGGGGGGGGTGGCATCACACACCAACACACCAAGAAACTTATGTGAGAATCTAAGAATGACTTTAAGAGACAGTTCTCTCCTTCTACTGTGTGGGTTTGAGGATCACCATCACCAGTCTTGACTGCAAGTCCCTTTATTCACTGAGCCATCTTTTTAGCCCTGTAGCGTGGTATTCTTAAATTTTATTATGATGGGTTTGGTTGTAGATTTTCCTTATTGCTCCCATTTTGTGAACCTTAACAAATCTATGCCTTTTTAACCTTTATTTACTATTGGTTTTTTTTTTAAAAAAAAAAAGTCATCGTCCCCAATTCTTGATTAAAATATCGCTCTCTCTTGGTCCTTCAGAGCACGGCCTGGTCTTTGTGATGCTTCCCTGTCCTCACACTACATTGCTAATACATTCCTGGATGGCCCAGGTACTGTGCTAACTCAGTGCCGTGGCCGTAATGGCTTCAGTGTCCTTACTGTCTGTCTTTCACAGGAGAGGTACTGCCTAAGCGCCTTTGCTTCCCTCTGTGCAGGGTCCCTGTGTGGACCACACTCTCTGGTGACAGGCCGGTTGAGAGAGAGGTACTTCGGGCTGAACGAAGTGGGCCCAAGACACCCCAGAAATGTTCAGAGCCCTCACTGGAGTCAGGAGAAACACCATTGGCAGTGCCTCCGGGATTCAACAAGAGACATGAGCTGCTGGTCCGTCAGCACCTGCTTGTGTTATTGCCCACCTCACCAAGGCTCTTGTCATAGTTTATCGGAGATACAGACGGTCTCATAGCAAACTTTTCCTCAGCCTTAGGTCTCATTCTTGCCCAGCTCCTCCCTTCACCACAGACCCCACACTGACAGCCTTCAGCTTCCAACAGCCACTAGCTTAAACAGCCAGAAATATATTCAGGTGTCTGGGTCTTTTTGTCTTTCTGCTTGGAATTCGTCTCTCCCTCCTGCTGCTTGAATTTTTTCCAGAGCTGACTTTGGAGGTGAGAACCAACAGTCTTAAGTCACCAGCTTGGCCTAAACCTAGAGTTCAATGTGACCCCCCCAACCCTAAAATAGCATGCTCTTTTTTCTGGTGTTTCTTTCTCATGTCTGGCTGTGTGCTGAGAAGAACCCCACGGCAGACTTGAGGTCCAACTGAACCACCGGGCTGAGGGACCACCCAAACCAGTTATTTTTCCTCCTCCTGGGCTAGCCATATAGTATAGCTGGCAGTTCAGACCCAGAGCGGGAGCCAGGAGAAGTGAAGCCTCCCCACTGGGTGTGCCCCTCTGCCCTGGGACAGCTGGACTCGTCCCCAGTGCTGTGGGAGCGCTTGGTTCTTGTGTTCTCTGCCTCCTTGCTATGCAGCTTTTAACTTTGGCTTAGCCTCAGTTGCCACCTCTGTCAAGTCATGCTGGAGATGGACATGCAGTCTGCTATCACGAGGCTGCAACCTAGCCTCCCCACCCTCCACCCCACCCCTGCACCGCCTGCTGGCTCCCTTCCCCACTTCCCTTCTTCAGTCAGGGGCTCTGGATCACTTTCTCACCTGCCTGCCTTCCCAGGGCCTATAGCAAGACTCCTAGGGGCCCTGTCAGCCCAGTTCCCAGATCGTGAGTAACCTGATGCCCCTTTCAAGGACAATATAGCCCCTTTCCATGCACTGCACCCGGGACACCTGAGCCACAGATAACAGGCGGCATTCAAAGTTAATCACCATGTCCTTCCTCTTTCCAGAGCAGGCCAACACGGGTCAGGTAAAGGATGTCCTTGATGCCACTGAACATCTACACGAGGCATAGTCTGAGTGTCAGGAGGGTGCCT